CTTGGAATTGCACCTTCATCGGTCGTTTTCCAATGATTATCAAATTTTTCTTTGTTTGGCGCGACAATCCTAGCGATAAATAGCCCAATAAAGACGCTGTACTCTCTGCCAGAAATATCTCGAATAGATAGTAGACGTGCTTTAATTTCTTGTCTACACCTGGAAATCTGGATGCTTGCGTTGCCGGGCCCTTTGCTTCTCATGTTGAGAGGCTACGCGATAATTAAGTTTTCCCAAGAAATAGTCGTCACTTTTACCAGCGATGTCCTCCCCACATCTGAGGCAGTGCGAACAAAAGAAAACTCCAAGAGCCGTCGTAGCAGCAGATAAAGTATCATCTGTAGGTCCATGTTCCCATTGGTAAATATTAGGATAGTCCTCAGGCACCCACGCTGTAGAGCGAGGCTTGTAGGGTTCATCCATGTAAAGGAACGGTGTATGACTGACCACCGTATCCCAACCACTTTTTTTTTTTTTTTTGGAAATGAAGGCATTTTGAAGGGGGTCACGTGTGGATCGACAAGCGGGCCATGTGGGCACGGGTGACCAAGACAACGAGAAGGAGACGGCGAAGATCGCATAAAGGACCAAGGACGACAAGTACAGAAGGTGCCGGCGAGTAAGGTGTTACCGTGTGCGGTGGGTTCATGTGGTGAAAGGCAATCGGGCCGGTGAATGAAGTGGCGGCGGACGAGACGGAAGGCGTGTACAAGGATAGGGACGGCGGTGAAACCAGTGCGAAGGGATGTGAGCAAGTGTGGTGAGTACAAGGACGAAATATCATCGCTTGGCAGGACCGGCTGAAGTGCGGACAGCCAGTGAACGACCCTGCGGGAGGGTTGCTATGCTGCACTATCGCACGTGGCGGAGGCGAAGGTCTAGTGGAAAGAGCGTTCTGTGTGAGATTTGTGCCGACGAGAATACTGTCGAAGGCATGAGCGAAGGTGGCGAGCTGCGAAGCAATCCATCACAAGAATAGCGCGATTGCCGGTCAGTCGATAACGCAGAAGACAGACAACATAACATATAGTCAATAAACCGAAGTTGTCATCCAAGTGCCTTAGAGTCATTATGGAAAGGACTGTTAAGCCACCGTTACTGTTCGATCAAAGAGGAATAGCGTATTGCTCTTGCCCAACACTGCATCCCTTATTATACCTTGAATTGTCTTGGAGCATCATTGATTTTAAAGTGACACCTGTCGTGACAACGAATCTTTTACCAACCCCATGTGTGTTTTCGCCTGCGGTGAATAAATAGCTTTAACTACTAGGGTTGTTATTTTTGCTACTTATCTCGAAATTCGTTATCACGTCTACTTACTCTCTTTCAGCACCGGCTGGCCCGTTGAGTCGGAAGAATTTTGCTTTTCAGAAAATTCTTAGATTAGCCCCCCCATAGCTATACATAGTTCGAGCACTGAAGTACTCGACTACAGGATAGAACAAATTCAAGATTAATAAAAATATAGTTGATAATAAATTCGGTTTTTGTTTAGCATCTTTGCGTTTGCGCCTCCGTTTCCAGTATTTTGTAGTCATTGATTTGAACTACCTACAGTAAAATCGACGATGACCCCTCATTTACGAAGCACGATCTTCG